CTTTACGACAAATTGATAGATAGCATCCCGATCTTTGCACATAATTTGAATTTGCTAGGGTGATAGTTTTTTTTTAAAAGATACCTTAGCAACAATTTTTTACAGAGGAAAACATGATTGAAGGTGTACAGGTCGTAAAAATATTTGGCTCCAGTGATCATCAGATAATGATGTTTGAAGCAGTTGTTTAACATGAAACCAAAACAGTATCACAATAAAGACGATACGGCTATTACAAAGCAGACTATGACAAAATCAGAAGGAAAATCAAAAATATAAACTATAAAGATAGACTGGCAGGCCTTAATGTACAGAAAAAATGGACGCAGTTTTTGTCATGTATGAACGAGGTTATGGAAAAAAAATGCCAATCCACAGAAAAAACAACAAAAAGTAAAGAAAGCCAGGAGGGATAAAAACAAAGCCTTGAAAAATACACGTAAAGAGACTTTACTAGGAAAAACGCTTAAAGTCTAATAAACAAGGCTAAAAAAAATATGTGGAAAAATGAAACGTGACAAACAAGACAAACAAAAAAGTTCTTAAAGAATACAAAGTTAAAATTAGTCAGAACATAAAAAGAAATAACAAAAGTTTTTACAACTACAGGAAGAGCAAGCAAAATAGGAAAACGATGGCTGGACCGCTAAAGAACGACCAAGGCGACATCATTGTCACAGATGACATAGTAACTGCGGAAATACTTAATAAATACTTTGGATCTGTATTGGAAAAAAAACACGAAATGCATTCCAGACCCGATAATACTGTTGAAAGAAAACCAAGAACAGATACTCAGTGTGGATATTGCTGAGAAAAAGATGCTCGAATCTCTGAAGGAAGACAAAACTCCTGGATTAGACAAACTACACTTAAAATTTCTAAAAATAGTGAGAAATTAAATTAATAAAACAGCACTAACTGAAATATTTATAAAATCAATCCAAACAAGTGAAATACCAAGAAACTGGAAAGATGCCATTGTCACACCATTATTCAAGAACCGGGGCAGGTGCAACACCAGCAACTACAGACCAGTCAGCTTAACATGTATATTATGCAAAATTTTAGAAAAAATTGGGAAAAGCAACTTAGTTAATTATTTGGCAAACTACAAAATAATAGGAAACAGCCAGCAAGGATTCATGGAAAAACGTTCTTGTTTGTCCAATCCTTTGGATTTCGTCAAGGAGGTACACGACAATGTAGGCTGTGAGATTATTTGGACTTCGCAAAAGCACTTGATAAAGTGCCACATAAACGACCCGTCAAAAAATTACAGGCATGTGAGATATCTTGAAATTTTCTTGAAATTATCTTGAAATATCTTGATTACTAACTGGCTGAAGAACAGAAGACAACAAGTGCGGATCAAGGGCAAAAAAGTGAAGTTTCTCAAGGTTCGGTGCTGGGCCCTCTACTATTTGTTATCTACATTAATAATATCGACTCTGGCATAATGTCAAAGATATCAAAATTTGCGGACGACTCGAAGCTGCGTGCAAGGGTCAAGAACGAAGAAGATGCTGAAGTACTAAGACAAGATTTGACATAGACAAATATAGAATTATGCACATGGGAAGAATGAACAAAGGTTTTCAATATCAACTGGACAGGAAGGACCTTCGATCTACAGAGGAAGAAAAGGATCTAGGAATCACAATTCATAAAAGCACGAAAACACCAAAACAATATACTTTGGCAGCAGCCAAAGCAAATCAAATACTTGGATGTATTAGAAGAACGGTGGTGAGCAGAGAGAAGTCGATCGTTATAAACTTGTATAAAACATTAGTTCGCCCTCATATCGAGTACTGTTCACAGGTTTGGAGTCCGGATCTGCAAAAGGACAAAGACAATCTTGAACGAGTACAGCGTAGAGCAACAGAGATGATCGAAAGTGTTGGAAAACTTGAATATAGGGATAGACTGAAAGAATGCGGATTAACCACACTAGAAAGAAGAAAATACAAAGAAGATCTGATTCAGACACATAAGTTAATAACTGGAAAAGAAGAAACATCGTTCACTAGGTTCTTTCAACTAGAAAAAAGGAAAGGATTAAGAGGTCACAGATTCAAGCTCTTCAAAAGACAGAAAATCTAATAAAGCAAAAATTCTTCAGCAGCAGGGTGGTAAACGCCTGGAACGAGCTGAGGGATAAAATTGTCTCAGTGGATTAAATCAACAACTTTAAAATCAAGCTAGGAGAACTAGGATACTAGGACGTTTATTTTGGGGTGGTTCTTATACAGATGCTGGTCTACTGAACCATTTCAAATTTTGTTATTATTATTATTGTTATTAAATGTATTATATATATATATATATATATATATATATATATATATATATATATGCAAATGTTAAAAAGTTATAATACTTCTTGACATACTACATTTTTTTGGCATTTTTAATTTTTTCGCTTGTTGAATCAGCTTAAAAGCTGAAGTTTCCCAAAAATTTTCTTAATTTTCTAAATTTCCCGGACACACGATTTTCTACTTCGCAAATTTAAATGAAGATAAATTTTAATAAACACTGCTTAAGAAGTTCAGTTGACACAATTCGGCAAACTTTCAATGTTATCGTTGAATGTATAAAAAAAAATAATTATCCGGTAAAAAATTGTCACTAAAATAGTGCACGTTGATTGCAAAATTTGTTGAAATACTGATAATTCGAAACGGCTGGAAATTCTAACGCGTTAATGTTTGAAAGAATTAAACATTGAAATTTGAACGAATGTAATAAATGATAATGACTGTGACGAAGAAGATGGAATGGACGATTACGAGAAGGATTTTTATGGAGATGACAAAGAGTTTTCAAAAAAATTTAACGAATTGTCAGGTGCGATGATCGAAAAAGTAATTTTGCAAAATAAAATTGAAAAACAATATTTTTGCAAAATGTTCGAAAAATTGAAAAGTTTTGTTTTACTCTGTTAAAAAAATATTTTCTCATCAAAACATCGATTTAAATTTCAAATTTACTTGAATTTTTATGGATAACTTTTTTAACCAAGTATTAACCAATTTTCAGATCTGAAAGCTCTGAAGAAACTTTATCGAACAGTTAAAACTGAATTAAAATCAATGTTAAACATAACGAACAACTTGCTTAAGCAATTTAAAAACGTTTAATTCTATTCGCATGGGAATGTGAAAACTACAAAATGAACAGGAATATCTGAAACATTTTCGCATTGGATTAAATAAAAATAACTCAGTTGAAAAAATTATGTACGTTGAATCGTTCATTGGTGTGATGATTTGCTGAGAATAAAACACTGAATAAATTTTATATTTTTGAAATGCTTCCAAATTTGATCAAAATAAAAAAAATCTTTTGAATGTTGCACGGAAAAACGGAGAACGTATTTAACATTGAACCCTATCATAAATGTTGCGATCGTAAAGAGACATCTTCTTCGACCTCAGGCGTAAAATTAACTTGCATTGTACATCTTTATTACTTAAAATATCTGTTATTAATCTTTTTTGAATCAGAAAAAGTATATTTTATACTTTTCGTCAACTGATTTTGCTTATTAATTTATGTAATACCGCAACACGACCATGATTTTTCCAATTTAGTTTGAAAATAAAATGTTATCTCTGTTGTAATCTTACATTATAATTTTAAAATTTAAAATAGTTGTGAAATTAATTTTCAGGGGATAACTGGTGGGGCATGCTGTTGGTTGCAGTGGGCGGAGTTGTCTTTTTCGTACTTCTCGCGCTGCTGTTCGTGGGCGTTATGAAGTTGCGCAAATCTAGACGAAGTAAATCCCACAAGATTCAACAGATTGCTAATCCGATTATCAAAGGATTGAATGCCGAAGGTTAAGATTTTTCAATATCTAATCCTTTTGAAATGTACCCAAGAAATAAATAACAGATTATAAGTACATGTTTGCCATGAATGACCAGACAAAAACATTTCCAATAAATCAATCAATTCACTCAAACTTATTTTTGCTTAAAATTAATTTAGAAAATTTCATCGAATGTATATTAAGCAATTCTAACTCGTTCGGTTCGATTTACAGTTTGTTTTTTCATAACGAAACAGAAAAAGTCTTGAGCCGGTATTGCTAGCCTCCAAGTAATAATTGTGCAAGAAATTGTAAGCAGGAAAAGTTAACTTAAACGATAATCTCTGCCCCATTCACAAACTTAAAAATATATTATTAAAAACTGTTATTAGAAGCTGTTATAAACATAGGCACGGGACGGTACACGGTTTAATATATCGGTCAAAAACTTAAGTTCAAATTACAATGCATCACCAATGCAAAAGTTCTGTCATTAATCTAGCGATCTGTTGAAAATATTCTCAGTTCGAAATTGCCAGAACAAACACTCTTAAGTTTAAATTTAAAAAAAAAATTATTAATGGGCAATATCAGTTTTGATAAATACTCTAAATATTTTTTTTAAATTCCGGAAAGGAAACAACAGTAGCACAAATTGTTATTTTATAACGCATTAAAACTGCTCGAAAAAGCCGTAGAACTTTAAATGACATCGTACAACATGGATAAAGAGCAAATGTGTTGTCTACTTTTTGTCAGCGTCATCATGCATTTGCAGATAACACAGACACTTCATCACTGATGTCCGAAACACCGGCATACCCCATGGTCTCTCGCTCCCTTAAGAAGGACCTCATCAACGTCATCAGCTCTCTCCTGGTGCCCAGGACCAGTCTCGAGTTGAAGAAATGCATTGGAAACGGTGAATAATAGGCTATATTTTTTATTTGCTAATTGTTTTAATACTGTAATCCATTATTTCATTGATGAAATATAGATTAATATTTATTTGTAAAATGTTTAATTTAGATAGAAGAATGATGATATTAGAATATTAACCACTCCTGTAAGAGTAGTAATATTAAATTTAACAGATATTAGCAGTAAAAGTAGATGTAAGCGATGTAATTGTTCTCTTTTTCATCACGATTGACAATCATTCTTGAAATCACAACGCACAGGTCACTTTGGACGAGTTTATCTGGCCACGTTGATGCATGGCAACCAGTCGGCTGAAATTGTGGCTGTGAAGACTATGAAATGTCAGATCTTCATCTAATATTTAACTGAAATAACGAGAATTTTTTATTCAAATTTTACACACAACTTTGGAATGTATTTCAACATTTTAAACCGATTTTTTAAAGTTTTTGAACAAATTATGTTTTTAATAAACCTTCATGCAAACACATTTTAATCTCAATCGCAACCAATAATCTCACATTTAATTTATTGATTAATAAACCTTTTTATCAGAGTAACAATCTTTGCTACAATCATTTCTCAAAAATATGTCAACTCATAACAAACAACAGCAACTACTCTTCATAACTCTTTCAACTATAATGCAACTATTCAGACAAAGCTGAGGAATGCGAAATGGTGGAGTTGTTCTTGAAAGAGGCAGTTCTTATGAAGGACTTCCAACACCCGCACGTGCTTGGTAGGTTCCAGCGCTGGTCCTTTGTATCATGAATCCATTGCCGCTTAAGTTGTTCATTTTCATAATCAACAAATTTTTTGTCCGAATTTGTGTTTACAATTTTCAATTTTGTTTTTACATCAGTAGAATTAATTTAATATTTAGAATGCAAATATGCATAGGCATGAATGGATAATGAAATGAAACAAAAAGCATTCAACTCTAATTAAATTAACACAGGTATAAAAGGCATAACATTCGCCGATGACTCCACGCCAATGGTCATTCTTCCTTTCATGGCCAACGGAGATCTAAGAAATTACATTCTCAACCCAGAACTGGTAAGTGGCTACATCTTTCTTCATTAACATCTTATGTTGTAAATTGGTTAAAAATCGAGTTTGGTGACAAATTTAACGTTCCTCTGACTCATAAAAATGTATATTATGATTAAATTAAAATGACATGAATTTCGTATGCAACTTTTATGTTGTTTGACGAAAATTATTGTAAGTGTAAACGTATGCACGATTATTAGTAATGTCCCGTTCTGTTAATAAAAACATTGTAAGTTTAAAGAGAAAAATTTCTGTGATAAAAAGGGTTACAAGACTGTCAAATTCAAAAAGTCTAGTTTAATTTAATTTTTTAATACCTTAAGTCAGGTTATCAGTAATAATAGAACACAAGAATTAAAGATTTAAACGTCATTTTGGCTTTTGGATGAAACTGCCAATATGGCATTAAATTAAAAATATTATTCAAATGAGTAAAAATTTTTAACTTAAGACAAAACATTTTACACATTTGGCAGAACATAACGATACTGAACCTGCTGATGATGGGGATGCAGGTGGCACACGGCATGGCCTACCTATCGAGTCACCACTTTGTCCATCGAGATCTGGCTGCCAGGAATTGCATGTAATCATGATTATGAATGTCCTGTTGCTTAAGATGAGATCATTAATGATAATTATTATTATCATGATAATAATAATTTTAGTAATTTTAGTTTTAGTAATTTCTAATCATTCTTTCCAATCGTTACAACAAAAATTCACTAACTTGTTTAACCACAATGAGCAGCAATTGTAACATAAAATAAATAGTACTATACATTAAGAGATGTACTAATTCGACAAAAACAACAACGAATATAATAATAATAAAAATATTGCTATCAAAAATATTAGTAATAATAATAATAATAAACGTGTTGAATCACCGAAGGGTGAATAACTCTGGAGTGGTGAAGATAGCTGACTTTGGCATGTCGAGGCAGTTGATAAGTTGTGAGTACTACAGGGTGAAACATGGCAAAGATCCCTTTCCAGTCAGATGGATGGCTCCCGAGTGCCTTGAAGCCAAAATATTCACCACAAAAAGTGACGTGGTTCGTTTTTTGGCTTCCACGTTGATTGCTTACAAACCAGCATTTCTTACCTTTTACATTCGTACATTTCTTACATTCAGTACCTTTTCATTTTTGTACTCTTGATGCTTGTATGAACTTTTTCATCTACAAGTTTCTTTTCTTTCCAGTCGCATTTTTTAATCAATTTATTATAATTATGTTTGGCTTAGAAAAAGGAAATAATTTTATGAAAATATTCTTATCTGAATTTTTGGATTTAAATTTTTGAAACGAACGACAGTGGGCGTATGGGGTGTTGCTGTGGGAGTTGATGACCAGAGGAGCTGTTCCATACGCGGAGGTTGAAAACTGGCAGGTGGCAGGCCTCATTCAGAGTGGGGAACTCCTCAAACAACCACCCTTCTGTCCCGATGTTGTGTTAGTTCTGCGGCTGAGTGGTTTGCAAACGAATGATGTTGATACCATGCATCAGTGCAGTGACGCCGAGAATTTAAGATTTTTAAAGTCGATTGACTATGAAGATTATTCATAACAATAGAAAATATTGTTTAATTAAAAGTTCATCAACAACATAATTATTAAACTGATAGATGAAAAGTCTACCCAAAATTTTAATTATAATTTAATTATGATTTTGATATTCTAATTATAATAGGTCGCACTTGCAAAGTTAATAACTTTTCGAACGTTGCCATTTCATTTAACGGCCTATAGCAATTCTTTTTCATGAAGGTACGCAATAATGATGAAGTGCTGGACACAGGATGCCCAGGAACGCCCGACATTCGATCAGATCATTTCAGACGTCAACTCTGTGGTCAGTTTGGTGAACCCGGAGATGAACAGACAAAATCAGGTGGACGAGCAGCAAGAACCAGTTGTCTACACAAATGTTCGCAGGAAGGATTCAACTGGCAGCAGGAGAAAGCGAGGTTCAAGCGAGGGAAAATGAAATTAAAATGCCAGCATAAGAGAGGCATTATTTCTAAATTTGTGGAAAGAAAAACGGAATTTCTAAAGAAAGTTTAGGTTTTAAAAAAAATTTAAATTGAATTAAAAACTACAAAACTTATCTGATCATTAATGTTCAAGTTTGATAGTATATACGAAGTATATAACCTACTAGTGGCATTATGTTCACGCTGTTAAATTAATTATATATTTTTTTATTGAAGTTAAAAAATTATTTTATATCGGCTAAAAAAATTATGTATTTTTTTTAGCCGTTAATGTGCCGATGTGTTCACTTTTACTTTTTCGAATATCCTGGCGCTGAAGTGGAGCGTACATTGCAAGTACAATATTTCTATGGAAGTGGCGGCAATATTTTTTCAATAACTTTCAATAATGCCGTCAAAGTATTATGTACGTAGAAACTTTTTAAATTTGCCATTTTTTGTGTGTGAATGAAGTTTTAATCGTGAGGTTGGGCAACTTGCGCGACTTTACTTTCATCCGTGAACATTTTATATTATTTGTTCCGCACTGTCATTTTGTGAAATAAGCAACCTCATTCATTCTTGCGCTAATGAGATACACACGCACACACACACACACATATATATATATATAGTTAATTGTTTTGATGATTTTTTAATGTATAAGCTTTAAAAACTTTTATTTATTTCAAGTTTCACGCGTACTGTACAATGATAAAATAATTCCAAGTAGAGGCAGCAAATGCTATATTATAATTTAATTGATGTTTTCAATTTTTTAATTAATTAAAGTGTCGTTAAAATGTTGTCAGATTTATTTTAATTTGATAAAATTTTATTTATTATATATAATTTGCCATTGTACACGAGCTAATTATTATTAATGAAAAATTAACAGCAGTGAGGAAGTAATGTAACGATAAGTGATCGTGATATATTTTATTGATTGATTCATCTTTTTGTGAGGAAACTTTTCCATTTTTCCATTTTTTTTTCAATTTTTTTCCGTTAAAATTTGCAATTTATTTGCATTTGCAAGATTACATTATTCAATTCACTTTAAACATAAATTTTTTTTAATGACTTTCCACAGTACCTTCGTGCCCAACGTTTCACTTTATATCAAGTTTTTGTATAGTACATTTTTAATACATTATATTTGATCTTTGTACATTTCGCATTATTTTTTTATTTTGTATTGCTCAAACCTAATGTGCTTTTCATCGCTCGACCGATGTCTGTGCTTCAACCAGATTCATTCATCGCACGTCCAATCAGGGTACAATATTGTCAGGTGTCTTGAATAAATTATGTAATGTTTTGTTTTAAATATTTTAAATTTATATTTTTTTTATTTTTTATTGCTGACTTTAAAATGTTGAAAACAAGGATTGAAGTGGAATGATGATGACGATGATGATGATAGCAAGGATGATGATGGTGATGATGGTAACAATGATGATGACGACGATGATGAAAATGATGATGATGGTGATAACAAAACAACACAACGAAATAAAGATTGTATGATGCTCTAGACACTACACCAACACACATGTTAATTATTTTCTCATCATTAACTCAATTAACTCACATCTCTTTTTTGAATGCCCTCAAGTCCACGTTTCACACCTTTGCCGACCCACTTTGCATTCAAACCCAGTAACTGAGAGTTGACTTTTTAACCATCATACCGTGTCGTTGCCCAATTATACAAACAGTGGAGGTCTGTTGATAGGAAAACTTTGAGACTTGGCTTAACAACTTCATTTGTTTTCAAATGTATCACTTTAAAGCAAAAAGTTTAATTGTTAGTTATGAGGAGATCAGACTGACCACAGAGGTTAAAAAATACTTCATTTAACTATTCTATTTTTCAAAAAATCTTTCAAAATGTAAATAAAATATGACGTAAAGATGTATTGTAAAACACATGTCAGGCTATCTGACGTAAAACATCTCACCACCCACCTTACTAAGATAAAAAAAAGTTCAACCAACCAAAAATTTTTCCCCTGTCTCATTTGTTATCTATTACAACCAAACGACACCTCTGGATATCATATGGATATTTCTATATGAATATGACTACAAATGACTCCAAAGCAACTCTATGAAAACTACTTCACTTGTCTGGACGTTTAAAAATTTAAATGGTATTTTTTAACAGTTTGCAACAATTTTTGTGTTTTGGCACCCTGATTGAAGTGTTCAGTTACAATATCCAAAAATTTAGATCTCGTTTCAACTATATAATTCAGACGAAGTTTAATAAAAACACCTACCTGGAAGAAAAATCTTGATCATTGGTCAATACAATAAATAATTATTATTTACAACAACTTGTTAACTCGCTAAATTAAAAATTTCAAACAATTTCAGATTTAATTCAGTTCCTACCTATATATATATATATATATATATATATATATATATATATATATATATATATATATATATATATATATATATATATATATATATATGCTCCTTACGCCAATAAGAATTCTAGGAATAGTTACAATGATGATAATGATGACAATTAAGATGTTAATGATGGTGATGACGCTGAAATGATGATGAAAATGAAGACGACGTTGATGGTGATGACGATGAGATGATGATGAAGAAAATGATAACGCTGAGATGATGATGACGATAAGGACGATGAGGATGGAGATATCTATGCAACAGCGAAAGATTGGCGGTTAATTTTTCGAGCCACTGATCTGAATCTCCATTCATGTTTTTCTAGTTATTTCTCCTTTCTTATGAGCTTGTTCTTATCCCGATGTATATGAATGACTTAAATATCACTGCCTGTTTTCACTTTCAGTTTTTTATTCATCTTGTTGTTTCATTTGTCTTGTTGTTTATTATCATTGTAGCACCATTCAGAGTGCTCTGCATGACGAAAATGCATCGACTTGGGACTCAACACTCAACAGATATGAATAATTAGAAACAAAACCCAACACCAAATTTGTTGGTTTGCATTAAAATTGTGGTTTTTCATAAAATAAATATCTACACATCTTTCAATAACTCTTAAATTTTTTGAAACAAAACATATATAAACTCAAATCACATTACATGGCATTAATTTTTAATTACACACACACAAACCTACACATACGCACACACACGTAAACACACACACACACACACAGACACACATAGCACGACGAGACGACGTATAACACTGCGTTGCGTAATAACGTCTCTTTATTACTCTGGCTAGATGTCTCGATTATCTTCGAGACAGATCGGTTCTGAAAACTGAAGGACGATTAATGTGGAAATGATTGGAAAGGTTTGCGGTAACGAGGTCGGCCAGTAATCGTCATTAGTTTATCTTTCCATCTCATTTGCAATAGTGTTCTACTTGAAAACACTTTCTTCGATGCTGATTCAAAGAGATTTTTACAATAGAAAATAATCGACTTTTCTGAAATTTAAAATTTATCTATTTTGGGGCAGAAATTTCTGCTCATATTACGTTGTGATCAAATAACGTCACTATGAATCAGTCGTATTGAACTTTAATACATGAATAGCATACGAGCAGATCTGTCTTATTCGTTAAACCAAACTGCGTCATTACATTTTGAGCACACACACTTACACACAGATACACGCACAGACACACACAGACACGCGCAACAATGCAGAGAACATCATCAATTTGTCTGAGAGTTAGAGAGGTAAGCCACCCGTCTAATTGAAACATTTATTATTTAAAACTTCATATCGCGTCACAAATATGTAAGGATGCCATGGTCGAGCTCTAATGCTCGCTCATCACTTACACGATGGGACAACCGAACACGCACGAGCAATGCATTACATTAAGTGAATGTTATTGTTGTATTTTATTGAGTTGTATTATTTACATAATAACTGCACATATTGCTGAAGATTTGTTCAAACATCATTGCTATTGTAATTGTTAATGTTATTGTTGTTGCTGTTCTTTTTATGTTAATGTTGTTGTTGTTGCTGTTCTTTTTATGTTAATGTTGTTGTTGTTGCTGTTCTTTTTATGTTAATGTTGTTGTTGTTGCTGTTCTTTTTATGTTAATGTTGTTGTTGTAGCTGTTCTTTTTATGTTAATGTTGTTGTTGTTGCTGTTCTTTTTATGTTAATGTTGTTGTTGTTGTTGTTGCTATTCATTACAAAAAATGAATGAGACCATAATTTAAATTAAAATTAGCAACATTTCATAATTTTTAAAATCAGTTTTTTTTCATTCGCCAGGTCATGATGATCAGTAATTATCAAGTTGACTCATGCATTTAAAAATGTTAACGATTTGTTTGAAAATTATTTTCATTGCAGTTGTTGCTGCTGTTTCTTTTTATGTTGTTGTTGGTCGGTTGGTTGGTTAGATGGTTGGTTGGTTGGATGTTATTTTTATTGGTGGTTGTTGTTATTGTTTTGTTGTTGTTTTGTTGTTGTTTCTGTAAACTCTATTGTTCTTTTAAAATACTGCGTTAATTGTGAAACTATTTGAACATTAGTCTTGACATGTGCACAAGTTTTAATTATATGTCGCATGCAGTTTGTATACTGTGGAATGAAAATTGTGGAAAAATAAAGTGGAAATTTATTGGACAGATGTGTGCACATATTTTCGTACACTCGCTTGTTTATTTGCTATCCTCCGAGTCTGCTTGAATTTGTTGTTGTACACAAATAGATAGGACTTGTATATTTAAAAGGAGAAAACGAAGTATGTGTTTGTACATGCTTATGTGTTTGTATGTGTTTGTTTATAAATATGTTTTTTTTGTAATTGTTTATGTATTTGTATATTATGTATATGTGTTTGTTTAGTTTTTTTATTGCGCATATCTGAAAATTTTTATTTTTATGTAATTTTTGA